TCTACCATTCATGATTGGAGCGGTTTCGAAGTAATTTAGCCTAAAAGTAGATGCAAATTGCTTTTTTTTTACTAACCAGACAACAGTGTAAAATCGAGAAATTCAAAAGAGCCTCTCAATTCGACGAAGGTTTCGTCGCTCCCGAAGCCTGTCGAGTCGAATTACAAAAGGTATGAGGGAAATGGTATCAGCGCCAGTCGCCAGACTCATGACGCGACGGGCAACGACAAGTTGTCAACGTCTCCGGTGCCCCAAGACACCGTTCTTGCTCCAGGGCTTCCAGCTTGCCCGACACAGTCTGGATCAAATGTACAGAGCCCGACTTTGGCCAAATCGGGCTTTAGGCAGGCAGACGAGGCCCCTGGGCAAAACGGCTCGTCGTTGGTAGCCTCGGGAAGACGGATTGCAAGGGACAGTCTGGTCGCGAGACTAGAGCATCGACTGGCGGTTCTGGGAGAACAAGACAATCCCAATAGAGGTATCGTTAACAATGAGTGGCAGGAAGAGAAGGAGGAGGAGGAGGCTGACCTGACAACGTTACGTGAAGCGCCCTCTGTACGTACGGAGGCCTCCCTACCACTCGAACAGACGGAACTTCTGGCCGATGAGAGAAGCATCACAGGTCAACTGGAACTGGGACGGCAGCCATCAGTTCCGGGGCTCAGGCGGCAAGCGGTGATCCGACCAATCGCGATAAGGCCCAGAATCCGGAGTCAACCGGTCCATCGTAGCCCTGAGGAGACTGCACACTGGCTGATTCAAGGGCTAGGTGAGCTGAAGATGAATGCTGGTTGACAATAACAACGGCTGTAATGTACAGCAATTCTAGTCATTTAGCTGCTTTGAGTCAAGAATTTTTTTTCAAAGTCTTCTAATCGAGCAGAGATATTAAATAAAATATCTAAAAGGTGGGGAATAGTCCTAATTTTTAATAAGGATAGATTTCGAGACTATTGACACTATTTGGTAAGAGCTCTGTCACTCTAACTCGCTAATTGTATTGTTAGGC